AAAAAAAAAAAAAAGAGAAGTTGTTTGAGAATATCAAACCAATTGATGGGCTTAGATCATTGTATATCAAGATCTCAACTTTCTTCCTTTTGGGGAACAAGGACCCCCCCTTCATTTGTTATCTTCAAAATCTTACAATAATTGGTGGGATTTGTATGCATTTTTTTTTATTCTTTTCTTTTTGACCCACACAAGGAGGAGTGTTTGCTATGTGCAAACACTTAATTCAAATAATGATAAGAAGTTAAGAACAATAATATAAGAAAACAAGTCAATTTTTTATGAAGTTAGAAAGTTTTTTGTCCAACATCTCAATTTGACTTTGTTTCTAAATCAATCATGAAATCTATAGACAAGTTACACCTACAAATTTACAATGACAAGTCAATAATCTTGATGTGTGTGTGTGTGTGTGTGTGTGAACCATTCTTATAAACACATATCAGTAAATAAACCAGGCAAAAAAAATAGGAAAAAACTGCAAATTATACCTAATAACTTCAGAAAGATGGTACTTTTTTTGTGTAGTTATTTAGTCTGCAATCATGCAATCGCACAAACTGCTCGCTAACTAATCAAATCGCTTGCATTTTGTTTCTTTAAAATATACCTCTGATTCAGAGGAAGGAGATCCGCCGAGCGCGACGCGGCGGCCGTGATCGTAAAGGCGCCGGGGGCCTCGACGGCGGCGGCGCAGCCGCCCTTCCGGGCCTCACCGCCGTAAGGCCCGGGACCGGCGGCGGCCGCGGCAGCGGCGGCTTCCACAGGCTTTCTTGAACGGTTGCGTCCCCTGTGCATGTGGCGCTCGCAGTACTTGTGCCCCGCCACCACGTCCCTCGAGCACCGCCACTTCTTGCCGTCCGTCCGCCGGCACCTCCCCGGCTCCGGGTCCATCGCCCCCCTCCCCCAGTACCCCGCCTGCACCACTTGATCCGGCAAACAGAGAACACGAGGAAAACAATCGAATCAGATCTCAAAACTAATCGAAATAAAAATTGAATCTTTATCGAATGATCTGTTTTAAGAAAAAAAAAATCCTCTGAGCTTACGAGGTGGCTGGTAATGGGAGTAGTATTGGTGGTGGTGGTGAGGGTAAAATGGGGAATTCACGAGGCTCTTCCGGACAAGATGAAGGAGCTCCTGAGGGACAGAGGCGCCAGCTGTCATGTGCCTGTAAATCAGAGCCTGAAGCTCAAGCTCCTGCCATTGGGCCAAGCTGAAAAAGCTCCCCATCCCTGCAAAAACACACCCAAAAACAAAAGATAATAAAAAAAAAAAAAAA